TGGAAGCATCATGTTTCTGCAAAAGCGTGGATGTGGTGTTTGAGGTTGAGATGAATCTCACGATCTAAAGATTAATTGTGTAGTTTCTTTGTGTGTACGAGCCTGTGAGATTTTTTTCCACACTACGAGTGGTTTTGTAGGGCACCCAGCTACATCAATAAATCTTGAAAAAGTGCCGCTGACGAGCAACCTCAGTGTGATTCTCCTTCAACCAGTGAGGTCGGTGTTGTTGCGGTCTGCTATGGGCGTCACATGGGAGAAGAGCTTGAATAGGATTGTAGTAGTGTAACATAGAAGCAAATATGATCGTCCACGCAAGGCTAACGGGATCTATCTGCACCCGTTAGAGGCTAGTAGGACCCCTGCCCCTTTATTGACTCACCTTTGTTCCCAGTTCCTATGGTGTGGTCTGTGTGCTCGGAGGTGCTCGCCTTCACCTCATTCTTGGTCAGTGCGAGTCTATTGAGTTTATTCAGCAATTATTAAATATTAGACGCCGAATGCCACGATGGAAAAAGCAACGAATTTTCATTAAAGTCTCAAAAATTTCACGAATTTACCGGAATTCCTTGAAAACTTTCACTAATTCTCCCAAAGTCCTGTACTCTAATAGATCTTCGATTTTTAAATCTCTCTCTTATAAAAATTGATCTTTTCGGCTTATATTCGTTTAATTTTTCACAGATTTCGAACACATCGTGTAAGTCGAGCTTTAGTCAGTCTTTCATAGGTTTACCCACAATTTCTGTTTCGGAAAGTGACCGATTTTTTTTCATTTCAAACGAGCATCTGCCTGATAATTGCTGTCCAAAGCAATTGAATGCTTTATTACAATCATGATATTCGCCTACCTACATGTGTGCTGGCTGGCAGCTTTCGATGCGCGCCTTCGCCTCATATTTTCTATCGGCACTTCAAGTATCCTTGGTGTCCTCTGCGATCCCGTGGGCGACGTGGGGTCGATACACATACGTGCCGGCTGACGTAATTTGCATATTGGTCAGTTGAGCATTTCCTTCCCAGCATCAGTAATTCAGTTGTGAGGGTTCCACTTAAGATTGTCTTCTCCCTAATAGACTGTGGCACTTGATGGCATCCTGAAGTACAACGTCGCCTCGACGACTTCGTTAATGAGTGAAGTGTGATTTGATTTTCTCTCACTTTGATTAATCGCGTCGTATCGCGGCGGGCGCTCGCGATTTCGCTGAGTTTCGTTGTCCTTTTTGTTCTCGCCAATATCGGCCTTATCTTTTTGCCAAGCGCCAGGTGTCAACGTCAGGTCAACTGGCGCCATGAAACTTGCAGAGACACAGCGAGCCTTCTCTCTTTTGGCTCTCGGAATCTTTTTCTCGTTGTTCTTTTTTTATTCTCAGTTTTAGCGCTGCACTCTGGGAATTATGTTGATTGGATTCGTTAGCGGATCTTGCTCACCGGAGCTCTTTCTTGAATTCTCTGAAGTGCCACGCCCAAACCACTATTATTCTTTTCAATGGATGGTTGGTAGGTTCCAACCGGGTGGATAGGCGCATAGGCCTAGTACCCGGTCTCAAGGTTCATTATGTGGTGTCTTGTGTTTTCGGAGATAAATCAGTGGTTGTGCTCTGTCGTCGGCTCTCGGATGGGCCAATAGCCTTCTCTCGATTTTATTACTTCTCTACTGCTACTCTTTGGATGGGTGTATTCTGTCTGGACACCCCTTCAATCCATTATTAATTAATAATTAATGTTAATGTATTTCTAGATTTGTGTGGAATGCAGTATTGCCTTTTTTATGAATTATAGACTGAAAGGGCTGTGAGGAATGGTAGCTCCGTTCGGTGTTGAGGAAATTTCACATGTTTTGTGCTAGGGTTCTACCCGTGTTTACTGCTTTAAATAGAATCTGCTCAATCAACTCAGTCGCTGATATCTGATTATTCAAGGAGAGCGGAGAATTCAATTTCCATTTGATTGTTTTGCATACAACTGTTGCGTCATCAAAACAACACCTCTATAGCAGTAGGTGAGAGCTCAAATTGGCTTGAGTATTTAATTTGAGCCACCTATCTGGTAAAAGGTGGTAAATTGAGTCAAATTCGACGAACTCTCACCGTACAATGTCCATTCGGTCTCATGTCAATTTAGTTTTTTCTTGTGTATTTTCGGGTTTTAAGCTGTGCTCTCGCCAATGTTTACTCTGGCTGCTCGTAAGCACAAACGTAAGGTCAGCCGCGGCGACGATGGTTGTGGCGGTGACGATTGTTCGTCTTAGTGCAGATGTTCGCCCGCTGTTTAACTATGCAAATTGCAGAATCCGTTTGTCACATGCATGTCCTCCCCGGTTGCTATGCGCGTGGCAAGTTCGTGAATTCGTAACGAGTTACCTATTGTTTTCGGAAAGTACGCGAGAGCAAGCACTTTCAAGTCCTTTTTGTGCACGCCTTTCAACGTGAATGGCGCGAGTGTCGTGACATCTGAGTGGATGTAAAACGACAACGCGCTTCCCTGGGGGACGTTGCCGCTGACCCTCAGATGCCCATTCGTATGCG